AAATTTCCAAAGTGACTATTATTTAATTTTTTTTAAAAAAGGTATATAACAGGGAGTATGAGAAGGCTAGGGATATGTAAATAAAAAACTCTTCAGTTTTTTGCACAGGCTGATCCATTCTACCATGAGCTAAGAAGCATTTCTTTTCGTACCAAGAATCTGCCTGCCTGATGTGGCTTTGCTGTGACTGAATCACCTCACCACATCAAGCAATTGCTGTGTCTATAGCCGAGTGGTTCTCATAGCCATAGTAGAAAAAAAAGAGTATTTTTTCATGACAGAAAAGACAAAAGACCCTAAAACATCCTGCCCTCCAAGCAATTCTTCTGCTGTCTCCTTTGGCCAGAAAGTATGTCACTTTAGACCCCTACTCCACAACCTTATGCTCTACTCATTCCTCAAATTCCCAATGCCCTAGGCAATGGGAGGTTCTGCACAAAGAGGTTCTTCAAAATACTTGATGAGGAGGATATATTTCCTCTTTGTATCTTTCTTAACACACTTAAAAAGAAAACCATTATGAGATGATGCATAATCTTCCCAGAAGAATCTCTCCTTTCTTTCTCTGCCACTCCCTCCAACTCCACACTGGGTACAAAAGAGAAGACATAGAGCGTGTAACTGGGGGCAACTATTTTTGATTGTGAATGATAGCCAACCTTAGGATGAAATGGATAGCATCTATATTTAATTGCCGAATTAAACTAACCCTCAATCTAATAAACTGCTTGAATTCTAGTTATATGAATCCTTTTGTTGTTTAAGAACATTTAACTGGGCCTCCTCGGTGGCGCAGCGGTTGAGCGCTGGGTTGCGAAGCTGCCTGTGGCCTCTGCAGCACCGGTTCTGCAGCACCGGTTCGATCCCCGGCTGCTTCCCGGCCACCGGAGGAGGGACCCACATGGTGGGCAGACCTCTCCTGCCTCCCGCTGCTCCCCTCAGCAGTGTACTTCGGCCCTGCTGTCTGCTCTGCTCCCCGCTCTGGCTCTGGTGAGTTCTCTCACCCTCCCGCTCTTCTGACTGTACCCAGTGCATGTATAAACAAAACAAACAAATAAATAAATAAATAAAAACATGCCTCTATTAAAAAAAAAAATCTTAAAAAAAAAAAAGAACATTTAACTACTTTCTGTTTCTTGAACCCAAATACATTAATCCAATGACCAGGAAATATGTCTTCCAAATAGCCCAAAATATATAAAAAAAAAAAAACACCTTGTCAGAATTGAATTCTACAATTACTATATATTCTTAGCAAGGATATGTGGGGAATACATAAATGAACTAACGACAGCATGCAATGAAAATAGTATAGGTTTAAAAGTCAGGTGAATTAGATCCAAATTCTAGTTTAGAGAAGTCACTTACTTGTGTAAGTCTTAGTTTTCTCATGTATAAAATGAAGGAAAGAGGATTGTGAGAATTATAGCTAATATACAAAGCACCACCAACATAGCACTCAGTCCAAAGTAGGTATTTAATGACTAGTCCTTATGGGTTTTTAAAAGTGAGAGAAAGTCTTTACCCTCAAGTAGGGTAGAAAAGACAAGTAATTACAATCTGCTCATTGGAATATTTATAAGATATGGAAGATTGCAAGAATAGTGCCAATTCATTACCTTTTACTGAATCCATACCCTTGGACATGCAACTTTACAGTATGTATTCAGGCATATGACTCATTTTGTTTCCTGGAATATTGGCCAAGCAAACTTGAACATAAGCAGAATTATGGAAAGTATGTGTGCAAATGGGTTGGCATAGTCTTGCTATTTCTTAAAAGGGACATGTCCAGGCTAGTCCACTGATCCCAGAAGGAGGATAAGAAACAGCTGGAGCAAAGCAGCCTCAGCAAAGCCCAACCTACAACAGCCCACCAGCTGACCTAAAGATGCATGAGTGAGACCAACAGAACTGTCCAATTGCACCCAGTTTAGTTCAGCTGAACCCTGAAGACATTGGAGAAATAAATATTTATTGTTGTTTACTTGTGAAGTTTTGTGGTTGGATATTACATAGCAATATGTTGTCTTTAAAAACCATAGATTTCTACTTCTTGACACTTGTGACTAAATGGAAGGCAAGGTTAGTTCTTCCAAGTCAAGGTCATAGATCATTCCTTCTCAATCCAATATGGAGTTTAATTCAACTTATTAAACTTAAAATGTCCTGTTTGATCTTTATCAGACTGCTTTTTCCTTAACACTCATTTGCTTAAAAATGCAGAAGTCTATCCTTACTATAGGCAAGGATACAACTAAATGTCTGGCTGTTCCAAGTTTAATTAATGTCTACAATTACAATGAAAACTCATAAAAGTGGTTCAAGCTCAAAAAAGTCAAGATCCCTACTGTTCATGAGAAATATTATCCTAAAAATGTCAACACTTTCTAGGTTTTAACAAGAGCTAATGCTTGCCTACTGTAATTATTAAACTATTTTAAGAGAAATAAGGAATGGCACTCCTCACATTACTATGTAGGGCAGGGATTCCACCAATCAAGAAATATTTACTGAATGTCATCCACATTTCAAGTTCTGTACTAGGCGTTATTAGTAATTGATTATGAACCTTAGTATACTGAAACCAATAGCGGTGCTGCCAAGTTAAATTATAGGGCAATTAAGCCTAGGAGTCCCCAGAGGTATATGCCATAATGGCATTTCTGATCTCCTTCTGAAAATAATCAAGAGTATTTGGATATGTGGGCTTTATGGCTATCAGCCTATTAACATTATAATAAAAAACATTAATGTCATAAGCTATGTCAATAACTAATTAATGATACCAGAAAGACTGGAACATATTCTTTCAAAAAGCACATACTATATATATTATACATAGCTATAAACAAGCTAACAAGCAACAGAAAATATTTAAATACAACATGGTCAAAAGAATGCTGCATTATGATAATTTCTACCATTTCCATTATATCCTATTTCTAAATTTGTGGCATCATCATAGATTTTAATCATGCTCTTCCTTGTCAACACCACCAACATGCAGATCCTTCCAATGTGCTCACATTACAGAGAACAATCATATAAACAGGGAGTACAACAAATACTTTTATGATTAATACTGACAGAGTTCTGATGGCTTGAAGTCTTAAGAGAAGAGTTTGTCTTTGAAGAATTTATATACTCACTTCTGAGGAAAAAAATACGCTGAAAAAATGTTTTTGATCTTAGATGTTGGTTATGGGTGTGTGTTCATCTGTAAAAATTTAGAGAGCGGTTCACCTTTTGTATGTGTGCTTTTTCTGTTATACTTCAATAAAAGGTTTTTCAAAAATTTAATGACACTAACAGCAGCACAGGACTGGTACCAAATGAAAAATACAGACAATTCAAGTTCAAAGGAGTGACTAGTCAATATTAATAATAAAAGCTGAATGGTCTCACTCATAGCAGGAATTTAGAAAACCTAAATAAGAGACCAGGAAAAAGGCTAATCAATGCAAAGTAATAATCAAAATCAACAAGCAACTATAAACCAGAGACACACTATGGGGGGGGGGATTAGGGAGGGTGGAGAGAGGAAGAACTAGAGTCAAAATAAGCATGTGTGTGTGTGTGTGTGCGCGCGCAATTGTATGGGGAATATAACCAAAATGAAAGTGCATACATTGTACGAAGATGAAAAATGATGTAAGAATTATATAAAATAAAATATTTTTTTAAAATAATAATAATAAAAGCTGTAATAGTTAACATATGTTAAGCAATTATTGTATGTTAGGCACTGTACTAAATAAGCATTTTACATTTCATCCTCACAACATCCCTGTGAGGTTCCCATCTTAGCAGCATTTGCTACAATTAGTTACTCCCTCTTTCTTAAAAGTTCTTCTTTCTTTTCATTCTAGGCCAACATACTCTCCTGGTTTTCTTCCTACCTCACAGTCACTGTTTCTCAATCTGCCTTTCTCCTCAACTTTTAAAACTGATAAACTTTAGGCTCAGTCAGTGGTTGTCTTCTCTAACTAGATTCCATGGAGCAGGTACTATTATTATTTTTTTTAGGTACTTCTATTATTATTCCCATTTTACAGATGAAAACATTGAGGCAAGAGAGATTCAAATGCAGACAATCAAGAGCCCATGCTCTTAACATCCTCACTATTCTGTCATCTTTGGCCTTCCATATAAGAGACAGGAGATAGCTACACAGTCCACATTTTGGTGCCCTCAGTAACTGAAAAAGAAACAGTGACATACATGGGACTCTTCTACATAAGATATTAAGGACTAATAGCAGATACCAAATAGGCAGAAAACAAATATTTTACAAATTCTGTTAAACAATTTTCCTTCTTAAGTTTCTTCATTTTTGTACTCTGGTACTTACTTCCCAAGAAGACTGTGAAAACTTCTAAAACAGATTCGCAAATCTAAATGCTCATTAGAATAATCTGAGCTTTTCAGACTGTATATGGGCCCAGTGTAGACCTACTGAGCCTAGAGGGTTCCAGGTATCATTTCTCAAAAAGCACCCAAGCAAACTCTGAAGCTGATAACCCAGAACCTGAATTTGGGTGGCCTTTTTTCTAGAAGGGTTCGCTGGCCCCTCAGAGGCTAAGTAACGACTATCTGCCTAGCAGAGACTAGAAATGAAATGCAAGGATATGGAGATGTAAACTGATTCCGAGAAGTAATAAGACCAATCAGGAAACTAGAGCAGCAACAGCGGAATTCTAGATGAAGATACCAAACACTTCTGGGTTGTCTGGGAATTTGTTGCCATGAAGGAGTCTGCAGCCAAGTAATACCACCCCATAGTTTAGGAGAGAGTCAATCAGGCAGCAAGAACCAATATATGTGAACATTCTTAGAGGACTCAACAAGTATTATGAGGGAATCTTAAAAGTATTAAGAGATATGGTCACAGTCCTCCAGGTAACAGAGAAAGTATTAACATTGCTTACATACACAACTAAAAATTACTAGAGAAGCAAAAATACTAAAATTAAAGGGGGAAAGTCACTTCAACATACCTCTGTAAGTGCATGCAATTGTCCTTGATGGACACACACACCCATGAACCTACAAAACAAAACAGATTTTATTTTTATTTTTAAACAAATGGAATGGACATTAACATACATGCCATACATATAGAAACTATGTGTTAGAAACAATCCAATACCTGTAAAGTCCCCAGTATTGCCATATAACCCTGCAAACTCAAATTCTGACACAAGGCTGATAAACTTTTAAGTTTACCATGAAACATCTCATTGTGATGAAACCTAGTGGTAAAAAAAACAGTGGTGAAATGGGCCTTCCCAGTGGTGTAGCAGGTTGAGTGCAGTGCTGTGAGGCTGTCCACAGCCTCTGCACCCGTTTGATTCCCGGCCAGCCAAGGAGATTCCCACATGGGAGGGCAGACCTCTCCTGTAGTGCCCACTGCTCCTCTCAGCAGTGTATTTCAGTCAATCCGCCTGTGCTGTTCCCAACTGTGACGCTGATGAATACTCTCACCCTCCATACCTCTGACCTGTATTCCAGTTCTTGGATGCATAAATAAATAAATCTTTTTAAAAAATTAAAAAGCTTCTGACAGTAAAAGAGACATTAACCAAAACAAAGAGACACCCTACTGATAGGGAAAAAATTTTTGTACACAATATTACTGATAAGGGACTGATCACAAAGATCTACAAAGAGCTCACACAACTCAACAAAAACAAAGTAAACAATCCAGTCAAAAAAACAGGCTAAAGAGCTAAAAAGACACTTCTCCAAAGAGGAAATGCAAATAGCCAACAGATATATGAAAAAATGTTCAACACCACTTGTAATCAGGGAAATGCAAATAAAAACCACAATGAGATACCACCTTTCACCAGTGAGAATGGCACATATTAAAAAAGCAGGAAACAACAAATGTTTGGTGAGGATGCGGAGTAAAAGGAACTCTCCTACACTGCCTGTGGGAATGCAAATTGGTCTAACCACTATGGAAAGCTGTGTGAAGGTTCGTCAAACTACTAAAAATGGAGCTTCCATATGACCCAGCAATTCCACTCCTGGGAATCTACCGGAAGGACACAAAAACATTAATTCAAAAGGACACCTGCACCCCTGTGCTTATTGCAGCACTATTTACAATAGGTAGGATTTGAAACAACCAAAATGCCCCAAAATAGATGACTGGATCAAGAAGATGTGGTATATATATACACAACGGAATACTATTCAGCAATCAAAAAAGATAAACTCATGCCATTTGCAGCAACATGGATGGAGATGGAAGAGTTTATACTCAGTGAAATAAGCCAGAAGGAAAAAGAAAAATATTGGATGGTTTCACTTATAGGAGGAACGTAGGGGAACCAAATAAGAGACAAGGAAAAAATAATTATAATAAATCAAAAAAACAAAATTAACAGGCAACTATTAATCAGAGACACTGCAGGGGAGGGGGAGGGATCAAAACAAGAGAGGGAATGTGTTCTTACACAAGGGGCTATGGTGATGGTGCACGGGTGAATTGGTGATGGGAATTTTGCGGGGACTACACCAGAAAGGAGGAAGCATGCATTGTACAAAAAGGAAGAACAATGTATAATACACATAAAATAAAATTAAATAATTTTTTAAAATTACATTCCGATAAAGAAACAAAGAAAGGAAAAGACAAAACCAAACTAAACCCTTGAAATCTGACTTCAGAACTGAGGTTACCAGAGGGGAGAGAAGAGGAAGGAAGTAAAGGGGGAGGGGGCCCAATGACTACAGTGGAGGATTATGGGTGCTATGGTGGTGTATGAGTCATAACATAATTTGAAGAGGTATGAGCCTGTATTCCTAAATTATATACTGTAAACCAACATTACCGCAATAAAAATAATTTGTTTTTAAAAATTACATTTTTAGTGATTCTTTTTGAATGATTCTTAGTCCCTACTAGCCCCGCCCCAAAATCATGCCAGCGAGAATTACTTAGCTCAGGAAGGGAGCATTTTCTTAATGTAGGTGTTTGAGAATGAATGATTATTCACTTTATTATTTCTAGTTTCATATTATACATACATTCTTGTTGAGTAATAGGGAGAGTTGGTTTTGCTTTTTACACCAGTACTCCCTAATTTCATAATGTGGAAAAAATTACCCTGAATCTTGTTAAATTGTAGACTCTGATTCTGAAGGTGAGGGGGTCTGTGAGTCTGATTTTCTAATAAGCCCCCAGGTCATGCTGACACTGCTTGGTCCATGGACCATACATTGAGTAGCAAGGCTCAGTCTAGACAAGAAAATAGCTGATCACAACTTTAAAGTTAAGACTGTAACAAGAAACTCCCAACTCAGAAACTGCTGGTAAACTAGACAGTCCAGAGACTTAGTTTGCCTCAGTTTTTCCTATAGCATGATTAACTGTTCTCCATGAAAATGTTCTCCATTACCATGCTTTTCCACATCTTTGCCTCTTCTCAGTCTGTTCCCATTACCTAGAATGCCCCTCCTTTCATTTCCACATAGTTAGATTCTCAAAGACCAATTCAAATACTTCCTTCCCACAAAACAAATTTGGTTCCTTTTAAGTAGAAGTATTTCTGAATGAGCATTCTTCTGAATTACCAAGACATTCCATCTACATTACTTTTCTATTACATTGTTATCTTTTACCTTTAACTATGTTTTCTAACGTGCCTTATATCTTCTCTACTAGGTCAAGAGCTTTCTAAGAGCATTCTCTTACTTGGCATATGACAGTATATAAGAACGTGCTGGACAAATTTAAAACACAACTCGGATTACTCAAAAATTATTGAGTGCCCACTATGTGCCAGATAATGGTAATAATGATTATGATAACTAACTCTTAAAGAGCACTTTATATGCAGACATTGTTATAAGTGCCTTACTTTATATTCATTTAATCCTCATAATAGCCCAGTGCACGAAGTAGTAATGTTACTATCCCAATCATAGCAATGAAGAAAGTGAGGTTCAGAGAAATTAAGTAACATACCCAAAGTCATATAGCTATAAGCAGCAGGCAGGCAACAGTCAAACCTAAACAGTGAGATCGAGTCTGTGCTCCTAATCACAGTCATATTACTTTTCCATTAGTTATAAAAAAAGATATAAAGATGAATAAAATAAACAAGCCAAATGCACAAAAATAGACAACTGGATCAAAAAGATACGGTACATATACACAATGGAATACTATTCAGCAATCAAAAAAGATAAATTCATGCCGTTCACAGCAACATGGATGGAGCTAGAAGGGATTATGCTCAATGAAATAAGTCAAAAGGAATAAGAAAAATATTGGATGGTTTCACTTATAGGAGGAATATAGGGGAACCAAATAAAGGATCGGGGGGAAAATAATAACAATTAAAAAAACACAACACAACAACAAAAATAAACAGACAACTATAAATCAGAGACATTCTGCAGGGGAGGGGGAGGGAGAAGGATCGAGATGGGGTGGGAGGAGCACAAGTGACTATGGTGATGGTGCACTGAATAGGTGGTGGAAATTCTATGGGGACTACACCTGAGAAAAGAAAGCAAAAAAATTTAAAAAATGATGCGGAATTAAAAAAAAAGATGAATAAAATATACTCCCTTCTCTGTATATAATATTGATGACTCAAAAAACTTTTTGTGGCAGAGGCAGCCCTTAGCACCTGATCAAAGTCCAAATTCCTTAGCATTATTCAAGAGCTTGAATGATCTGACTGAAACCTCTCTTACCTTATCTCCTATTACATCCACCTGCATCCTCTGTTTCAGTTATATAACCTGCCACTCCCAAATATGTCCTTAATTCTCTCATTTCCATATTATAGTTAGAATGAGTCTCTCTGGAATTCTCTTTTCAAAACTCTACTAATCCTTAAAAACTCAGTTCAAGAATACCTCTTATAATAATAATAGCAGCAGTAGCAGCATGACCACCACTACCAAATATTTATACACCATTTAGTGTGATAAGCACTGCCACATACTGTCATCTAATTGCAAAAATAGCCCTCTGTGAATGGCTATAATATTTTCTACCTCAGAGACATGGTTTCAAATATTCCCCTAATTTTTCTAATCAAAATTAATCTTCCAACACTCATATCACTCTATTTAAACCTTTATTGTAACATTTATCAGTATCTGCCTCTTCCACTAATTTAGAGAGTTCCTGAAGGCAGGGATCCCAGTGAAGCGAATGGCTATTGTTCATTAAATTGCTCCCTTTTTCCTCCTAAAGTAGGCGACATGTCCCAATATTCTTAACAGTTGGTTAAGACCATAACACTGAGTTCTGGCCAGTGGTATAGGGGCAGAAGTGATTCTGTCTTTTCCAGGCCTGTCCCATATAAGCCTCAATGCTCCATGCTTTCTTCCTTCATCTACCAACAGATACAGAAGATTCAATGGAAGAATCTGAGGCCTGTCCTAGGTGAAAAAGAGCTTCCCTTCCACCCCCACTCAACATGCATTGGACTGGGACATGAATAGGAACAAATCTTTAGGCCAGTAAGATTTTAAATTGTGAATTGTAGTATTAGCCCACCTAGACTAAATACACCATATAGTTTTTCATTCTTTGTGTGTGTGCGTGCGTGCACGTGTGTGTACTTAAAACATTGCTTTGTTTATAGTGCTAAGTAAATATTTACTAAATCTAATTACAAGTTAAAATTCTTATTTCCATGGCAAGATTTTTCCTGGACACTACTATTAGCCAGCAGTCTCCAAAACAGGGAATGAGCAAGATTATCCATTGAAATATAGGAAGAAAATTAGAATTTTTACTTATTTTTATATAAAAAAGAGAACTGGAATTTTACTAAAATTTATTTCAGTTAATATTAATAGTAGCACCTATTTCCTAATGGGATACTGTAGTAGGCAGATGTCCAAAGATGTGCATGTTCTAATTTCCAGAACCTATCGATACATTGTTTTAGGGTAACATGAAGGAATTAAAGTTGCAGATGGAATTAAGGTTGCTAATTAGCTGCCTCTAAAATAATAATAACCACAAGGATAAATACAACTATCCTTAAAGATGGAAGAGGGAGGCAGAA